TTATTTTTTTCTTTCTTTATTTATTTCTTTCTTTCTTTCTTTCTTTCTTTATTATTTTCTTATTTTTTTTTTTCTTAATATTTCTTTCTTTCTTTTCTTTTTATTTCTTTATTTTTTCTTTTTTTTTTTTATATTTTCTTTCTTTCTTAATATTCTTTGTTTTCTTTCTTTCTTTTCTTTCTATATTTTTCTTTTTTTTCTTAATATTTAATATTTCTTAAATTTTCTTTCTTTCTTATAATTCTTTCTTTCTTTCTTTCTTTCTTTCTTTCTTAATATTGCTCTAAATTTTCTTTCTTTCTTTAATATTTTTTTTTATTTCCACTTTTTTTCTTTCTTTCTTTCTTTTCTTAATATAATTGTTTCTTTCTTTTTCTTTCTTTCTTTCTTTTTTTTCTTTCTTTTCTTTCTTTTTCTTTCTTTATTTCTTTCTTTCTTTCTTTCTTTTTTCTTTCTTTCTTTCTTTCCTTATATTTCTCTAAATTTTCTTTCTTTTTTTTTTCTTTATTTCTTAATCTTTTCTTTCTTATTTTTGTTTTTTCTTTATTTTTCTTTCTTTCTTAATTTTCTTTCTTAATATTACCTTTATAAATTTTCTTTTTTTTCTTTCTTTATTTCTATATTTTTCTTTCTTAATATTCCTATTTTCTTTCTTTTTTCTTTATTTCTTAATATTCTCTACATTTTCTTTCTTTTTTCTTAATTTCTTAATATTTCTAAATTTTTCTTTTTTTTTCTCTAAAATTTAATTCCACTATTTTCTTTCTTTCTTTTTCTTAATTTTCTTTCTTTTCTTTCTTTTTTTTTCTTTCTTAATATAATTTTCTTATTTTTCTTTTTTCTTTATTTCTTTCTTTCTTTTCTTTCTTTCTTTCTTTCTTTCTTAATATTTATTCTTTTTTTTCTTTCTTTTTAATATTTATATTTTATTTATTTTCTTTCTTTCTTAATATTTTTCTTTTTTTTTTCTTTCTTATATATTTCTAAATTTTCTTTCTTTCTTTCTTTTTTCTTTTTTTCTTTCTTTCTCAATTTCTTTCTTTTTTTTTCTTTCTTTCTTTTTATTTTCTTAATTTTCTTTTCTTTCTTTCTTTCTTTCTTTAAATTTTCTTTCTTTTTTCTTTCTTTCTTTCTTTAATTTTTCTTTCTTTATTAAATTTATATAAATTTTTTTCTTTCTTTCTTTCTTCTTTCTTTCTTTTTCTAAATATTTCTTTCTAAATATTTCTTTCTTTCTTTTTTTTAATTTCTTTCTTTCTTTTATTCCTATATTTTATATTTTTTCTTTCTTTTTTATTTTTCTTTCTTTTTCTTTCTATATTTTTCTTTCTTTCTTTTTCTTTCTTAATATTCTTTGTTTTTTTTTTTTTTTATTCTTATTTTTTTTTTCTTTCTTAATATAATTTCTAAATTTTTTTCTTTCTTTTTTTTTTCTTTCTTTCTTTCTTTCTTTCTTTCTTTCTTAATATTGCTCTAAATTTTCTTTCTTTCTTTCTTTCT